GGGGGCAGGGTCTGCTCCGGTGGCCAGGAACGTGTGTTGATAAATTGGGTGCCCCAGTGGCACACGTCCAAACCAGCGCCCATGACCCCAGCATTGGTGCACAAGCCATAACTCGCTCCGCTGGTGGTTGGAAAGTCGTAGAGGGAACCCTGCTGGAGAGGGACCGCATGGGCAGGAAAGGCAGCTCGCAGGTGAACTCTTCCCCTCCCTGCCCCCAGGCACAGACGCGGGTGAAACTCAACTACTTAGACCAGATTGCCAAGTTCTGGGAGATCCAGGGTTCCTCGCTCAAGATCCCCAACGTGGAGCGGCGCATCCTTGATCTCTACAGCCTGAGCAAGGTAGGGCAGGTGCCAGCTGACAGCACTGGGGCAGTGGGAGGGGGAGCAATGCTGGCAGCACTGGGAGTGGGTGTGGTGGCAGCTCAGGAGAGGGGCTGAGGGCTCACAGCTGGGCGAGAGGTGCCAGCAGTGCCCAGGGAGGCCTGGAGAAGGGTACAGGCAGCCTTGGGTTGGGCTCCTCAGTTTGGGGGCCCACGGGTCAAGGGCCTGGTCCCAGGCAGGGTTGGGGAGGAGGCTGGTAGCTCCGGAGGATCCATGATTCAGAGGAAGGGTGCTGGAGGCAGGGAGGTCTGGGTGGGTGGGTGCCAAGGGCAGGCGGCTCAGGACTTTCTCCACCCAGGTGGTGCTGGAGGAGGGGGGCTATGAGGCCATCTGCAGGGACCTTTGGGGGCCCACGGGTCAAGGGCCTGGTCCCAGGCAGGGTTGGGGAGGAGGCTGGTAGCTCCGGAGGATCCATGATTCAGAGGAAGGGTGCTGGAGGCAGGGAGGTCTGGGTGGGTGGGTGCCAAGGGCAGGCGGCTCAGGACTTTCTCCACCCAGGTGGTGCTGGAGGAGGGGGGCTATGAGGCCATCTGCAGGGACCGGCGGTGGGCGCGCGTGGCCCAGCGCCTCGCCTACCCCTCGGGCAAGAACATTGGCTCCTTGCTGCGCTCCCACTACGAACGCATCATCTACCCCTACGAGATGTACCAGTCAGGGGCCCACCTGG